GAAGACTAACCGGCACAATCGTTTCTGATCTCGGCGGAAGAACAATCTTCTTAATGCTGTACACGTTCCCTGGTAACGCACCTTCCATAAAAAGTTCCTCCTATCCACATTTCAAAACACCCTGCTTTACGTCGATCTCACAACAATTATTCCTCATAAAGTCTAGGCCAAGGATGCAGTCGTCCATTATATCAGCCACGATGACATTATGCAGGTAGATCACGTTGTCTAGTTTCAACTCCATCTCCTTCTCTCCACGGACGGGTATACGCTGACCGGTGGCTGTTACCAAATTAATGCGTTCTTGGTTGTATGCGGAGTCCCCAAGGAACTGACTTATAAGTTGGGAACTAACAACCGTACGAGAGGCTACAGTGTCTATAGTCAGTTTACACGGCATTCGTTGACCTCGCCCTTGATGATTAGAATGTTCCCATCATGGGTTTGTGAGATCGAGATTCTTGGGGCTCTTTTAACATCAGCCAGCACCCGCCCCGCAGTTCTGGCTTTTAATCGTTTCCCTGCTGCTGCTGGGTGGTGCTGTTGGCCGCACTACCCTCCTGAGGTCGTTCACCTTCCCTTTCTAGGGTTTGCTTAGGGCAGCTGGATCGAAGATGGCCCTTTTCCCCACAGCCATAGCACCTAGGGCGGTATAACCTCCCTGCCGCACGGCTTCCACCTCCAGTGCATGGGCCAAGGCGTCTTTAAGCGTCTCGTGGTGCCCGAGCCTCACAGCAGCTCTGACTACCAGGTCGCGGATGCCGTCGATGAATGTCTGCACCAGGTTCCCTTCAATGAAGCGCAGGTACATACCGGTATGCTTTTCGCACCAGCTTCTCCACCTCTAGAGCCCACTGCTGCAGGTTTTCGTTGATGCGCTGCACGCGATCTTTAAGCTGCGCGCGAAAGACGTGTTCCAGGTGAGCGTCGCCATATCTCGCCTCCAATGCCTCAAGGAGCTGCTCGTAGGTCACTTTCTTACCGAGAGCTTCCAACACAGTTAAGGCTTGGTCGCGCAAGCCTAGGGTGAGTGCAGTCATGGCCTGGCTTTTATTCCAGCCGTTCGCCTCCATGACGGCCTCGAACTGGATTTTGTAGGCCGACCAGGAAGAAGTCCCGTCGAACGGCGGCACTTTGAATCCACGTAGCGAAGGTGTTGTAGCTACTACGGGAGCTGTTGTTCCATCCCCAAGTTTGAGGTCGTCCAGCGTTTTCTTCACGTCAGCCATCACGTTATCAACCCGATTGTTCACTTGGTCGATTTGGGTTTTAGCTTCCTTGATTTGGGTTTCAGCTTCCGACAGGCGGTTGTCATGTTGAGCAACCCTATCCTTCACCTCCCTTATCTCTTTCCCAAAGGTAGCATGAAGGTCCTTCATAAGGAGCATCTGCTCTTCCAACCGACGGGCCTGTTCCTCTTGTCCGCCCCGCAGCTGCTCTTCCAAATGACGGACCTGTTCCTCCTGTCGGCGGACCTGTTCCTCCTGTCGGCGAACCTGTTCCTCCTGTCGGCGGACCTGTTCATCCTGTCCACCCCGCAGCTGCTCTTCCAACCGACGGACCTGTTCCTTCTGTCGGCGAGCCTGTTCCTGCAGCATCACCATCAGAGCACCTAAGTCGGGTGCTGCAGATGTAGGAGCTACCGACGGGCCTGCAGCTGGTGGCTGGCCCTCCGACGTCTGCGGCGTTGCACCACCAAATCTTCTTTGGTCCGTCTCCTGCTGGCGTTGACTTCGGGTACGGATACCCTCCGTTTTCTCCTTAGGTAAAATCGGCATGATTTTATCCCACTTCTGACACCAATTGTTACGAGCTTGAGGTTCGTGACAATAAAAATTGCCGATAAAATTACCTAAATTAACACTTTAATTTTCTTTACACAAATTAAAACTTAAAACACTAATAATTAATCACACTAATTCACTTTATTTCGCTCCGAAGATTCGCTTATCTCGCCGAATTCAATACTTCCCCGATCGCACCTTGCAGCGCCTATAAATACACATTAGTACCGAATCATCCAGAACATTCAAGTAAATACGCGCACCAATCGACAAAGCGCCGAAAGTTCGAGAGTCAGCTTCCAGAAGCTTAGTTCCTCGTTTCGACAACAGATGGCGCTGGCGGTTGAAAGATTAGTGATGTCATTTTCTGGAAAGCTTTCCCCTCGCTCCGTTACCCGACACTAGATGGCGCTAGTGCCAGATGTCAACTTAGCCGCGCAACAATACCAATCCCCTTTGGCTACGTTCGTTCACTGGTACGTAGATATTTCAATAATTTACACACTCAGCTTTGGAAAAATTTAGTAGACTGTAGACAAGCTAGGGAGGCCCTACCTGAAATAAACAGTCCTCTAACCAAGGTTCTAATGAGACTGAACAAGCCACAGATCAGGATAGTAACAAGTGCTATCACAGGACATGGTTCTTTTAACAAACATTTGTTCAACATAAAAAATCATAGGTGTTACTGACAGCCCCCTGTGCAGGGCATGCATGGGAGAGGAAGAAACGGCGGCTCACGTGTTGCTGACATGTCCAGAAGTCGCTTCATACAGGGCTAAACATCTCGGCACGCCGGGATCGCTCCCCGAAGTTGCTTGCAACATCAAGGGACTGCTGAGCTTGAGAAGGGAGATATCATGGCTCGAATAAGCATATTATTCCTGCCCACACGCGAAATACGCGCTTAGACGTGGAGTTGCGGAAAACAGCCCGTCGTAAACTAAACTAAACTATCAGTCGATTCTCGTCGTCTATTGGTTTTGAACGTATCATTCGGCTTCCGTAGACTTCAGAGCAATAATTTTAGTTATAACTTTTTTAATTAGTTTATTTTCGTTTATAGTTTTTGTTACCTCGTTGTCAGTTGTTGTTTGTGTATTCCTTGTTATTAATTGTTTTTGTTATTTCTTGTTTTTAATTAATTTTGTTGTTATAATTTGTGTGTTCAGATTTTGGTCTAAATATGCAGAGAAAGTTGAAGTCGGTGTTAAATAGACAATCCCGACAAATGGTCTATTCAGTGTTTAGTTACATGAAAAAAAAAAAATAGGTACTGCGATAAACATCATAGACGTATATAAACAGACTGCTGAGGCGACTAATGTCTCAGTACCTACTGTACGGTGCACCGCAACATCAGATTTTATGGAAGGCATATCACCTTTTCCTGCTTCTTAGTAAAATATTCAATTCTAACCACAAATTAAATATTTTATAGTAGATAATAAAATCACGGACACGAATATCTGCAACATTACTGTATTAAAGTAAAAGTTGATGTGTTCAAGTAAAAATTTTCATAAAAGTCGGCGAAAATATTTAATTAGGAATTGAAATAATAAAGGTACCCAATAATTTTGCCCGACAGTGTACCTAACTTCCACCACAGTTTATCTGTGCTCACGACTCGTGTCGGCAACTATCACTGACTTAGAAATATATGGACTGGGCATACCTACAAAATTAGCGTGACTACCTACAAAAATCTGGCGCATAAAACGGCCGCCTTTTATAGGGTTGTAACTCTGCAATATGCGCAGCTGATATCGATATTTTAACTAATATGAATTTTTTCTCATATTATATAATTGGATTTGTTGCTTAATTTACTTTATTCCGTAGGTATTTACATAGATACAGGGCTGAATTTTCAATCGTCAAATAACTAATCTGGCGAATAAATGTGACTGACTGATTTACGGCTTTTGTGTAGATAGAAATTAAATCCTTTTTTTGTGTTGAAAGTATTACTGGGATGGTGATCCCAGATCCCATATTATTAATGTAAAATAATAATGATTAGTTGAGTTAAAATGAAATAAATTTTTCATTTTTCTGCACATAATTCATCACAAATAGTAAGTTATACAAGCAATTTGTAGGTATATCATATTTTATTTATTCATTCGGATTTGAACTGAAAAATATTATCAAATTTCGAAAAATTCGAAAATCTGGCATGATCACGAAATATGATATGCAGGATAACATCCTGGATATCATATTTCATCCACCGTTGCATGATCATGATAGATTTTTACATAAACTATTATTATTATTATTTGTTCATTTCTGAACAAAATTATTTTTTAATATAATTTCTATAAGACCGTTTGTCACTGCTTCTTCTTGCATGGTATCTGAACCTTTTCTGCCACAAATCCCGTAATATATTCTAATACAGCAACTGATAAAGTTTTTTAATATTTTAAATAACGACTCTAATAGAGGCATACTGAAGACAACTCCTGAAAGTTTTTGTTTTTTCTCCCCCAAATAGTAGCGATAAACATACTGTGATTTTTAATAAATACAAAACTTCTTAGCAGTTTTTTTATTGGCTAAATAAATTACAAAATTATGCATCTTACATAAAGTAATAATTAAAAAATACATCCCTACCATAACGCTTGAAATAAACTGTAAGACACTTATTTGACATAATAAAATATAAAAAGAAGAAAAACACCTACTATAAGATAAGATGAAGGCACTGCACTACACAACAAAAAAAACTTTTAGTATTCAACAGTTTGACAGCAGATCTACCACAAAACTCAGCGCTTAACATGACGACGTAGTCACGCATGGATGAGCTAATGACGTCACACGAAAGTGTTATCAAAATAAGCAATTGACAAACTGTTGTTGTCTCCGTTTTCTAATGAAGCTACAGCTGCTTTGTTAAAAATAAACAAAAGTATTTTTGACAAGTGTGTGTCGATATTATAGATATTTGTATAACTATTATTTCTATAGTAGAATACGCCGCCTCCATAGGTATTATATCTCTATGGCAACTATACTATACTGATACATGCTGTAATCTATGGTACCTAATGTAATCATTTCAATGTGTCAATTTATTAGATTTTTCTTTGTTTATGCATTTTCATTATGTTTCATAATTTCTGTTTCTGTATATAATATAACTTATTCCTTTACATTCTTTAGTTTCTTTTCTTCATTTATGTGTTTAATAATTGTATGAACATGGGTACCAGTACAATGGGGAGCGATCTACATTCTGATAAGCAAGACAAACTTTTGAAGCTGCAAGCTCGAAAGAAAGAATTAGAACAAATGCTATCATCTAAAAATGAAGAACTATATAAGTTATGCGTCCAAGAAGTTCAACTAACAGGTGTTATGCCGCCCGAAGCTCCCTTAAGTCCAGAAGTGCCACAAAGAGAACGATTGGGCAGTGTTCGAAGTACAGAGAGATCTACGGATGATACTGACGTTCAAGATGGGTCAGAAACATCATCACGCCGTATTAGAATCATTCCTTCAGACCGTATTACCGATTCCGATTCAAACACGCGTAAGAATGTTTGCCATAGATTATCCACTCCATCTATATCAGGTATGTCAGGGAAAAGTACACATTCGAGACCCGTGCGTCGTCCGGAAACTAGTTGTTCAAACTTCTTTCCTTCACCCCCACAAGAGCGGAATCCTGAAACTTTTTCTATACATACTTCTCACACTTATCCTGCCTTAGCTGGTCGTCACGATTCTGTGCCTGGTGAGAACATTCAGAATGAATTGCAGCAGGGTCCTGTTTATAGGCACCATACTATGTCAACGGAGTATTCAAACAGAATATATTATAATAATCCTGTGGAGGCACATAATGTGTCTAGGTTAAAAGAGACTCACTTTAGTTCTAGTCATCCCGATATTACTACGCACTACACACATGGTGCAATTACTCATCAGCCTGTTCCACAACAAAATGGCATACGTAACACACCTCTTATTTATCAATATGCGTCACACTTAAAAGCTCAGAGTCACCATTTAGGGGCTCTAGCTCAGCATCAGATGCAAATGCAATCTAAAAGGCGTAATGATGGTGTTCGTCGGAATACGTTACAAAGGACCCAGACTTATCACCTCACGTCACATAGTGACTATAATCAGCATTTAGAGAACATGACAGATTCATATAGGCCACCCCTACCCGTTTACCAACATAGATCCCAAATGGATGTTCAAGAACAGATTTCAGATAGAATGCATATTCCCTTTGAAAGATTGGTTGCAGTACCTAATTCACTACCATTGCGTGAAAGGAATATTAGGAACCCAATTCATATGCAATTACAAGTGTCTACGGATGATTATGGATTTGATGATAGAAAACATTATCCTGATGCTTTGAGTCCTGTTAGTCAAATGTCGGGGTATTCACAAGGAAATTTTGATTCTGTAAGTATGAACAAATTTTCTCCACTCTCACAAGCCGAGACAAAAGTAAGAGAGAAGCATTGGTATGAGACGTCATTGGATTCACCTACAAAGCCTGAAGTGCCTCAATTAAAGAAAACATCAAGCTTAAAGCGCACTCCCAGCCTTGGTAACTCTCAGCCATATGAAGTAATGATTTCATCAGGTAGGCATTCAGCAATGCAAAGTCCTCACTTAATACCTCATAGTTCACCAGTGCTGTCTCCGAGTGCAGTCTCTTTAGAGTCGCCCAAAAATTTGACAGTTATCGAGCAGGGTAAATGCATACCATATAGGGAAGAAACCAAGCCATTTGAAATGTCTGACTTTTATAAATACTCTACAAAGTTTAGGCAAGCAAATGCCCAAAAAGTGCCTCCTATGCCTGCACCTAACGCTAATGTGATATATAACAAATTGCCAGTAGAGTTTTCCGAATTTAGCCAAGAGCATTGGCATGGACAAACTAATTAATTTAGTATAGTGAGTTCATTCTTAATCACTTTAATTTATAAACTTGTGTAATTTAAATAATACTACTATTTTATTAGTTTTCTAATATAATACATTACATACTACTTTGACAATCATAGGTACTTATTTTAATCTTGAAACCAGATCTCTAGTTTCTAATTTTTTTTATTTTTTTTTCTTGTTAAATTAAATAGGCTTAACAGAATTTGAAATATTAAATTTTTCAATCAAATTACAAAAATGTATTTATATATACGTATATCAGTATACATATATTGGACCTGTGATAGTGTTGTGCAAACATAAATTTCATCAAAATGAATTACAAGCTGACAATAAGGACTAAGGTATATTAGATATAGTAATATTGATAGTTATAAAATATTAGGTAAGTGTGTTGAACACACTGTTCCCATAAATTTGCCTTAATTATAACTAAGATTTCCTATTGACAGTACAATGCTTCACACCCACCGCAGTATAACATCGATCTTTGCCAAATTGTCTGTTAATTTAAATAAAGGCTTTTAATAATAAAAATAGGATATATTGTGATTATAATATACTATGTTTCGTCATTAGTAATTGAACTAACTCTCAATGATATTTAAAAAGCTCTTTAGGTTTTAGTTAGAATATTGTGCTTATTCACAACTGTGTGTTTTAAAATAAAAATATGAATTTTTTAAACTACTTTCCTTATCATTATTATTGCAGTCCATTTATAGTTCTACTGCTGTACATCCCTTTCCTACAGAGACTGCCACAAAGTGTTGTATCATGCTTCCTTCAACTCCTTTGTATCAGTAAGCTTTATGTATGGTTTGGCCTATATAGTGCTTGTTTTCTTTAAAACAAATGTCATCGCCACACAAGGATTTTGACCTGTATCATGATGCGGTTTTAATACATAAATTTTACAAGGACACAGATTCAGACTTAACTGAACATTTTTTTCCATTTGGGGTTTGAACCTGCAGCTCACAGCGCCTCAATTAAATACTTAACCACTGTGCTACCAAGCCCCCGACTAGATATAGTGACTACTTGGTAAGAGAAGCAAGAAGTTGATGGTTGCAGGTTGCTCGAGACCATGCTTTGTGGCATTCCTTTGTTCAGCTGTAATGAAAATGATGAGATTGTGACATTCCTCAGCTGAGGAAACGAGTAAGAAACTTAATTTTGATAAAAAGTAAAAGCCGACTTCAAACGACTGTAAATAATAAAATAACTTCATGTTCTTAATTGGGACTTTAATTCGTCTAAACACTATGTTGTCTGACCTGTCTTTAACTTTTTTTAAGATAATGTCTTACTGTAATATTTTTTGGCCCATTGCCACATTGTTTAATCATTTGACCGTAATAAGTACTTGCTTTTTTAGTAAAATTTTATTATCATCTAATGGTTGAATTAAATAAATAAATTGGACATTTCTGGCAGAGATCTATGTTACTCTAGTTACTATTAGATAGCATTTATTTGCTGTGATTAATAATCTGATTGCCACACCATCCCTGTGCACGTTGAAATAAGAAAGTTTAGAAATGTATGTGTTATTACTTATTAATATGAAGAGTTAAAACATTTTTGACTGATTACAATATATGAATTAGGTTTACAGCTATAGTAAAGAAAAATATTGAAGATTTTTTAATCTTTGCAATTGTATGCCAAGTAGTATTTTTGACTTAAATCCTTGCCAAGCAATAATAAGCCTAATACAGTCGCCTTTAACATTATCGTCCAATAACATTTTATTATTAAGATTAGATAATTTTAAGTTTGTGAAATTTACTAGGTTATATATTGATGGAGTTTGATCCATAGAGTAATTAATTAGCAATTGTATTGCAAAATTAAAAAATATTAACTATTTTTATACAATGTTTTTAAGCAATTATGTGCATATGGCACATATTTATGTCATTCTAATAAAGTTTGATAGTTATTACGTGTTTTTTAATTTTAATACATCTAATTCTCCCCTGGTCGATTTGACTACCTATGTTGAAAGGTTTTGGTAAACTACAAGAAGGATAAGTGAGTATAGATAAGTAGTAAGGTGAAAATGAAATAAATTTTCACTTCTGGCGTTTTGATATACAATTTACAATAATTTCTTAATGTAAATTGATTTTTGATGGCAACTGCTGTATTTTCCTTCTCAGCTGAGCACATAATCACTAGCTTGTACTATTGCAACTAGCAGTTTCAGTGGCTTCAGCGGGACTAGCACTAGTAGGCGCAAATATTACCTTACTTGAATGTAAGGCAATACAGCCAATATCTTGCTCCTAATCAATCACGACCTTTAAGGTGAGTGTTTTCGTGAAATCAAGCTTCAAGCAGTGAAGGAATTAAGAACATCGTGTAGGCTCCGCCTACCTAGGATAAAATAATATAATATGGATCTTACTTGATAAAACACATGAGACACTCCATGTCTTTACCAGGAAACACATAGGGAGGGAGAGGAGAGGGAGGAACCTTCCATAAATATCTTTCGCTAAGTTTGCCAGTCAATTACCCGCCACCGGGGGCGGACACGCAACCACTGGGATTTCATGTGTTTTGAAATAAAATATCAGTACCACTACCGCAGTGCGCGAAGGTAAAAACTAGTAGCGATCGGAATGGTGATAGTTAGACTGACTGTGTTCAGTTGAAAGGGTTATGTCACTAACGTCTAATAAAATCAACGATTAGATCATGAGGGGGACAAACCCCTCCATGCTCTATGCAAACCCCTCCATGCTCTATGCAAACCCCTCCATGCTCTATGCAAACCCAGTGTGGTGTTGTATTAGTCTGTGTATAGAAGGTCATTAGCTTGTTGATCTGTAATCGAAGGCGCGAAACCTGTGCATACCTATAGCTTTTCGTGGTCCTTTGGAGTCGGATCTGAAGAAGCGAAGAACTGACGGCTTGACCTGGAACAAGATAGCTGCCGGGTGTAAGAAAACCGTGATTGCTCCAAAGTGCACCATAGAGTCGCCACAGCGTCGCCGCAAAGGGGGCGACATGAAAGCAGTTGGTGGTGGGCATCAAGACAGAACACAGGGTGCGACATTGTATCCCATCTGAGTCGTCACAAGGGGAGCGACTGGAAAACAGTAGCTGGAAAGAAGCAAGAAGACTGCGACCGGACGACTGCGCCCGTGCAAGGCACTGACTGCGCTGTGACCGTACGAGACAAGGTGCCTAGACAAAGCGTCATCTGCGACCGGACGAGCGGAACGTGGCACCAGTATACCAAGCTGATCAATATGATTTTTGTACGTAATCGGGTGAGCACAATGCTTATAGAAGCATCGTGTTCACCCGACTACGGACATTTAAGTAATTTTAAGAGATTTCTTGGTTTAAGTCTATAATTATAAACAAGTTAGGAAAGTCAGTTAAAAGTCTCGACAAACCATCGGAAAAGTTAGTTAATGGTTCCGACGTTAGCAAAGTCGGTTAAAGGTGAACTCGACGATGCATTGGTAATAGATATATTGGGTAATCAAGGGTAATGCGATAGTAAAAAATAATAGGTAAATTAAATCAAAAAGGCATTAGGCGCACGGTTCTATGGTTAAGCTTCCAGGGTAGGTAACTAACGCACCCGATTTGCAATTCGTTCGGGATCAGCAACAGTTTCGGAAACTAATAAGTCAAAAAGTAATAGTGCATCAATATCGCCTTTCCAAAGGTGAAATTTTGATGGCAATTTGCTATTTTATTCAAGATCCTTCAGTGTTAACCCTATTATTAGAGTAATACAGTCCACATAGGCACATACGGTAGGTATTCGCCCACCATTTCTGGGCGACTGGGTTGTGTACGGAATCGAACGTCTTCATTTTATGTCTTCAGCTTGGTGTGGTATTGGCCTGTGAATAGAAGGTCAATAGTTTGTTGATCTGTGGCCGGAGGCGCAAGACCCGTGCGCACCTATAATTGTGGTTAACGAGTTCATGACTAGGATTTACCTTCATATGGGATAGTTGTCAAGCATTCGTTAATAATAGTTGTTCCCCGTCTAGATATTTTGTCCATTTGCAATTTATGTATCTAAAATGTCTATGGTACAGGTGAAAATTCCTAACGTTTTTTAAATACAGAAAACAAGATAATAAGGATTGAAGTCCTCTCTCCTTCACTTTTACTATGAGCAGTTATTTATATTTTTATCCCCATTTTTTTTGCCTAATAATTCTAATTTCAAATTGATTTTTGATTAGCGTTATGTTTATATCGCATTTGAATCTTTATCGTCATCATGGATGCGTTAAAAATTCAAGTAGTAATGGAATATGAGTACCGTCGTGGCAGAAAACCCAGCACAAGCGGCACGCAACATTAACGACGTTTACGGAGCAAATACTACAAACGAACACACCAACTGTAATTGGTTTGCCCGCTTCCGTTTTGGAAATTTCGATAACATTGGTCGACAATGATGAATAAAAGGCGATTGTGGAAGCTGATGATACTCAATCTACGGCTGAATTAGCAGGAGCTTTCGACGTTAGTATAAAAACAATATTGGCCCATTTGCATCAAATTGGCAAGGTAAAAAAGCTTGACAAATGGGTGCCTCACGAACTCAATGATCACCAACGCGAAGTATGCGTCAAGAAGTGCCTTGCACTGCTCTACAGATACAGAAATGAAGGAATTATAGATTCTCTTTGACAATCGCAAACGCTCAGTAGATTAGTTGGACATTGGTTCAGCACCTAAACAACGCCCTAAACGAAAATTTACCCCCAGAAAAGTGATGGTCACTCTTTGGTGGTCTGGCACCGGTGTGATTCATCACAGCTTCTTACCAAACTGAATGAGCATTAGTGCAGATGTGTACTGTGAAGAACTGAACAGAATCATGGACAAGCTCGCATGTCTCCAACTAGCTTTGGTCAATCGCTCGTCCCCGCTGCCTGCTGTACCTGCACGACAACGCGCGACCTCGTATTGCACAACAGACGCTCTTCAAGTTACAAGAGACAAGCTCTCCGTCATCCGCCGTACTCACCAGACCTTGTGCCTACAAACTTCTATTCTTTCCAGAATTTGGATAACTTTTTGGTGGGAAAAAAATTAAAACCCGAGAGGCAGTACAAAATGATTTTGAAGAATTTATTGCATCCCGTCCAGCTTCAAGAAAGGCATCAATAAATGGGTGATTACTTTGATTAATAGAATTAAAAAATATAAAAAAATAATAACGTTAACTTATTTCATAAAAAAACGGCAATTTCATACGTAAAGACCTAATATAATTATTTAATGACGATATTTTATATGAAACATAAAAAAGTTATAAGGTAATTAAAAAGTAATTAAGTATGAAATTGAGGTAATACATACAATAAAATCAAGAAATTAAATTCATTTTCACTTAAGCTGAAAATTCGAAAGGCATATTGAAGTCGTCTATGTTGAACGATTACAAATGTTCAAATATGACTTTTACTTTCATAATTATAATTTTGATATCTTAAAAGTTACAATGGCTTTTTTATAGGTGTTAAAATAAAAAGGTCGTTTTGGCAGATTTCAGTTGTGTTAAAATTCTCTCAAATTAATATTACAAAATAGAAAGGCACAAATGAGCAGTTTTTTTAATGTTATTCTACGAAAGAGGTTAGGAACTCGTCTACGGTGGCCGGGGTGTTCAACCTGAGACTACAATAGTATGCTGGGACATGTGCTAACGCCGCTAACAAGAAGACCCGACAATTGTGCCTGGGGTAACATGGGAAACGCATGCTAAGAAATATTGATTTTCATTATTTGCTTGCTCATTTTGTAATACATACTGAATACTAGCTAACTAGCTCCGTGGCTTTGCTCGCGTTGAGGTCGGCAAAAGGACATCATTCCGAAACCCCTTAAAAATGACTCAGTATAGAGCACATACATATGTAGGTGCACATTTGCCTCGAGTTATGGATTTATTCTTCTTGTTATGTATTTGGCTAAGATTATCTATAAGTGACTTTCAATAAGTATTATTTATAATCCATATTGAATAAAAAAGTTTCTGTTTCTGTCTGGCAAGTGTGAATCACCAGAAGATGAAAAATGAAAACCTTGGTGATTCCTCTTGCTAAAAATAAGACAAATTCGGTTTTAGAGCTAGGTTACCTACCAAAATTGATATCCTTTGTATAATTTATACTTGCGATTGTAGTTACGTGAAACGCCAGCTTCGTTTTTGTGATTTGAATAAACACTTGTAATTGTTTCATAATATTTATTTTAAATTATCTAAACCGGTTGGTTTTTCATTTCGTGAGGATGACGCCGTGAGGTGAACCGGTCGGTTTATGTGGATAATAATTTAAAATATATATTGTGAAACATTTACATGTGTTTATCCAAATTACAAAAATGATATCCTTTGCCTCAAAACATCGTTCGGTACTACACATTTAGAAAAACCCAAGTTTACTCTTGTTTTTTAGACTTCAATTAAGCTTTTAATCTTGTGTCATATAAAAAATCGTATAGTCCAAGCGGTAACCGTCGAAAAAGGTTAGTCATCTGGAATAAGTAGAAAAGTATAATTTTTTATTTGCTGGGTGTTAGTTAAATAGTAAACTAGCGGTCTGGTGGTTTGTAACATGCTCAATTTTTATCTATTTTTTTTTACAAAATTGATATATAAAACGTTAGTGTATTTTTTTTTTGATTTGATAGAGTTTAGTGAGTATAAAATGAAAATTCGAGTCTGGCGCTCTTATTCTTGACACGACTATTTGCCAAATATTTATTCTAACGACAATTTTTTATATAAGATGTGATAAGTGATAACAAATGAAACGTTATCTTTTTTTTTTGTTTTTTTTTTTTGATTTAATGGGTCTATAACGTTAATATTTGACCAAAATTTCTGATATGTATGTGTGTATGTGCGCGTGTGTGCGTGCGTGTGTTGTGTGTACATTTTATATAATTTTAATTTTTTACAAATAGTAACGGATCTTCCAAAAGAATTTATAGTAATCTTTGAATATACGTACAAAGCAACTAGTTGGGTTGATTGGGTCATTATAGGCCAATTGCAAACTAAAAACTCAGTACATGGGGTCTCTATTTATAACATTAGTTACTAATGACATGGTTCTTCTAAGCCCCTAGATAAACGCTCTAAGAAAACCGCTCGCTATTTGTGAGCGATATGTAGAAGCGATAAGAAGAAGAAAAAGCGAATTCCTTGTGCTTAAAGTCGGAAGGAGAACATATTTTGCCATTCCGAAGTTGCAATTAATTGGAACTATGCTAAAACAGGTTACACAGTTTAAGTATCTAGGGCATTGGGTCAACGATTCACTGAGCGATACTTAGATTTGGAAAGAGAACGAATGGCGCTTGATACAACATGTTGACCCGCAGGTTCGCTCGACACATTCATGAAGTTAAAATTTCACTTTTCTATAGTCAATAATTTTATATCTGCAAGCCGTTTATCAACTACACGCATAAGGCATATAGACTACGCCTAAGAGTACAGTATAACAATTTCGGGGTACTGTAATGATTGCCTTGTTTGTAACGTATCGGGGTTGTTCGCAGTAGCATTCCTGATGATGCGAATACGAGGTAGCATTAATAGTCTTCTGGAAACTTAAACTGTAAATTGCTTAGACAGTATATATGTAATACACTCGTTGGAGACAGTTCTACTTTTGAATGCTATATAATACATGCTTATAATTTATGTATTAAAATTTAAAATAGTATTTCATATTGTCGAGTCTCGTACGATGAAGGCGATCTCGTAGAACTGGTTCTTCGGTCGGTTAGCCGGCCGCCGTGTATTGCGTAACAGGTTATGTCGCTCCATCGCCAGTCATGTATACTACTAGGTGTCTCAAAAGTAAGTTCACATTTGCTTATCTTATTACGCGAAAGCAACTATTCTGAGGGGCGCGGGGGGTATGTCAGTCGGTAGTCTGGCTCTTGGGAATTTAGTCGCTATGGAGCGTTTCTCTGGTGCGGACCGTGCGTTGTGCGTACGTGAGTTTTACAAAAACGGTAATTCGGCGACTGTAGCGCGTAGAAAATTCTGCAGTATTCGACATATTCGTCACTTAAATGATGCGCCTAGCACTCGTCTCATTGCAAAATGGGTTGAGAAGTTTGAAGAGACTGGGTCAACTCTGGAGAAACCAAAATCTGGGCGACCAAGAACATCAAGAACAGCCGAAAACGTGGACAGTGTTACTCAGTCTATTCGAGATGATCCAAACCTCTCGATTCGGAAGCGTGCTGTTGCTTTAAATGTGCACAGATCTTCATTATGCCGCATTTTACACAAAGATTTAAAGCTGCACCCGTACAAAATTCAGTTAGTGCAAGAACTGAAGCCTCAAGATGCTGGTCAGAGGCTTGCCTTTGTAAATCAGATGATTGAGCGCTTTCCAACGTTCACCAACATCTTGTTTTCCGATGAAGCCCATTTTCACCTGAATGGGCATGTAAACAAGCAAAATTGTCGTTACTGGAGTGCAACCAACCCAAAACAAAAACATCAGAAACCGCTACATTCACCCAAAGTCACCGTATGGGCAGCGATGTCGGCGCGAGGAATTATCGGCCCTTACTTTTTTGAAGATGGAAGGGGACGCACACTCACAGTGAATTCAGAGCGTTATGTGGAGATGTTAGACGAGTTTTTCGTACCCCAACTGCAAAACTTTCCTGGTTACAACCAAAGAACATGGTTCCAGCAGGATGGAGCAACTTCACACGTCCAACAGATCTCTGCCTCGAGTTCGAGAAATTTTTCCGAACAAATTAATCTCCTGGCGAGGTGACATAAATTGGCCTCCACGGAGTCCCGATTTAACGCCTATGGATTTTTTCCTGTGGGGTTATGTCAAATCAAAAGTTTACGCTAATAAACCGACTTCCCTGGCACAATTAAAAGAAAATATCCGTCATGAAATGTCAGCCATCACGGAGACTACCTGCCGAGCTGTCATAGGCAATTTTAGTGCCCGACTAAATGAATGCCGAGAGCGCAACGGTTTACATTTGGACAATGTTATTTTTAAAAAATAAATTCCCAAACAGTGTACTTCAATATAAAATAAACATTTTTTCAATAAAGCTAAGACTTTTCTTTTAAAAAAAAGATTTAAATGTGAACTTTCTTTTGAGACACCTTGTATATAGGGTCCCGTTGACTGCCTGGTTGATCTATTGGTTGTAGTTGTGCGGCTGCTGATCATGAGGTCCTGGGTTCGAATCCCGGGTCGGACCAAAAAAATAATTATTGAGTTTTTCCGTCAAGAAATTCTCAGTAGTTGCCCGGAGTCAGGAAGTTGGCGGTGTCTCAACTCCGTGCCTCGGAAAGCACGTAAAGCCGTTGGTCCTGCGCCAGATCTCTCTCCGGTCGTGTCGGTTTACCGTTCCATCGGATTATGAGAGTGAGGGAATAGATAGTGCACCTGTGCTTGCGCATACTCTTGGGCACTATAATCCTGTCTTGTGTCGATGGCTAATTTCCGTTTGGGCAGGCCGCCGTGGCCGAAATTCGGTCTTGAGGACATTATTATAGGGTCCCCTTGCTATATGGCGATCTCAAATCTCACAAAAGCGTATGACGCTCATAACTCCGCTGCTCTATTGTTAATCATCAAAATCAGTTAAAATAACGCATTACCACGCATTTTGAATTTTAAAAGATAAAAATGAAATTCTCTCCGCAAATTTGGCCAGTTATTGCAACATAACCTTGAATAAAGGGGTTTTATTAGATATTTTTATATTTAATATTTTATGTATATTATATATTTTACGATGAAATAGGTATTTGGTTTAGGTTAAGTGTCAAAACTCGAGTGGCAGCCTTATACCGGTATGCGAAGTGTAGGGGGCTCCCAATACGTAAAGTGCCAACCTGGTAAGAGATGCAGGAAGTCAATGGATTAAGCTAGCTTAGGACCCTGCTTTGTTGCACCCTTTAGAGGAGGCCTATGTTCAGCAGTGGACTTGTGATAAGCTTTAATGATGATGATGATGATGACGTCATTTTAGGTACCTCAATAAGTAAGTCAATGATCAAAATTACTTTAATAATTAGTACATGAAAAGGACACGATTACCTAATTAATATGTGCCAATTTATTTGAACATTAAAAATAATATCATCATTATATATTTTCATTTTCTGTCTTGTGTTTTTTTAAATTAACCGATAATTGTTTTTATATGTAACATGTAAGGATATTTTATTATTTTTTTCTACGAAGTGAAATATGTATATTATTTTTTTATATTATATATATATATATATATATATATAGGAACTGATTGAGAGTTTGAAATATTTGACCTTTTTAAAAAAAATCTTTGCGTGTAGGTACTTGGTGCAGCATCGCAGCTGACATCTTGCAAACAAAAATAGATATGAAATTATTAGTTCCACTGCGGGCTGGATCTTCTGTGATATATTTTGTAGAACGTATATACCTAGTCAGGTCATAAATTCTGTCACATGTTTGATATAAAATAATTGAAACAAGTTTATTCATTATATAACCATTTATATACCAAAATGAACTTAACAAAACATAGATTCTTATGACACTAAAGTTTATTCAAAATGACCTCCGTGATTTTGAATACAGGCCTTCAATCTGCGCGGCCAGTCGTCTATCGCAGCACGAACGAGTTCAATATCGGCGGCTGCCTTAATCAAGGATGTCTTGAGTGACTCCGAATTGGGATGAGGCTTTGAGCACGCCTTTTCCTCCAAGTGTTGCCATATCTTGTAATCTAACGGATTCAAATCTGGACTGGAGGAGGGCCAGTCTTCGTGCCGGATGAAGTCGATTTCACGCGCCGCCAGCCAGTCTTGTGTGCTCTTCGCTCTATGAGCTGGCGCCGAATCTTGTTGGAATACCCAGTGCCTGTTATTGAACATGGTATGAGAAACAGGTTCCACAAGGTTCGACAGGACTGTATTTTGATACACAACTGCATTAGTTTTTACACCTTTCTCACAAAAAAGTACCTCTGTTAAGCCCCAATAAGAAACTCCCAACCATACCATGAGCGAGGATGGAAAATGACCTCGTTGGACACGCGGAATACGGTTCCTCGCTTCTTCACTACTGTGTGCGTACACCTTATCATTTTGTTTGTTGTAGCTCTCTTCTACGGTAAAAAATTTTTCATCCGAAAAAAGAATTTCCCGATATTTTTTCCCGCGTACCGCTTCAACAAAGCGCGGCATCTCTTCAGTCTCAGGTCCATTAGTCGAGCATTCAAACGATGTCCTGTTTTTCTTCGATATGCCCGAAGCCCTAAGTCTTCATTTAATACCATTTTCACCGTGGTTCTGCTTAACCCCATCTGAAGGGCCAAAGGTTTCTGCTTACGTTTGGGATTTCTTTGAATTCGCGTCTTCACAGCTTTTATCACTGCTGTAGTCCTAACAGACCGAGGGCGACCACTTCTTGACCCGTCATCTACACTAGAGTCTTCATTGTATCGTTTGATGGTACGATAAATGAATCTTTTGGTTATATTCAAATTTTTCAGTATGTCAAAAATTTGAATTGGTGCGTAACCGCAACGATGCAACGCAATAACTGCAACACGGTCTTTAAGCGTCCACTCCATATTTAAAAATGAGTAAAATTCTAAAAAGTATACAGTTTTATTTTCATGAACAATTCGAAATTCGAATTCAATAAAGTTTTTTGTGGCCAGCATTCGAAAAGAAAAGTTTTTACTGTGTGACAATACTTATGACCTGACTAGGTATATATACTTTACTTTATTTAAGGGGGTATCCAGGTGTGTAATAAATCAGATTAAAACAAGTTCATAAGAAGGAATCTGTTTTTTTAATACTAATTACACAAGACAATATGATAGGACTAGGTCGAAATAGAAATAAAACGGATCACTCATAGTTGTTACAACCTGACAATAGGAATATTAAAAAGAAATTCTTTTAAGCAATTGATGGTTTGGACGATTTTCGCAATTTCTCCAGGCGTTCGTAAAGTGATCTTTTGCCAGGGTTGAATCCTCCGTTGAGATAGTCGTCGTCACCACCTGAAAAAGTTAAATAATTGGGTCTGTCAAGAGTGCGTTGATGGGATGATCATGCAGAGCCGCTTTGTAAATATTATATTAGTTATCGAAGTGTCTGTCTGTATTACTGCAGTAATAGGCTGTTATTTGGGTCAGGAGGTTATTTTATTTGCACCCTACTTAAATATAAAGTAACATTAAAAAAAAATATTGTGTATATGTCTGTCTTAGAGGTGTAAAGGTAACGAAATAAAGCGTTTCCGTATGTGTTCGTTACTATAACATTTAGTACTCGTTACTTTCGTATCGTTACGTTACTCGTTATTTCTGATACCTCATAACATGCTATCCTATCCTATACCTTTAAACGAGCAATTCTTGCATATATATATAATCGGAATCTCGGAAACGGCTCCAACGATTTTTATAAAATTTTGTGTCCAGGGAGTTGCGGGGGCAATAAATCGATCTAGCTAGGATTTATTTTTAGAAAATGTACTTTTGTCCGTGTTTTCAGGCAATAAATAAACTACTACAATATAAGAAGGTAAATTTTGTCGGATCACTAACGATCGTAATAGCTCAGATGGGATGTTGTTCGGGCGTGATATCGGAGTTCCGTTGTTCGCGTCCCGTCTTGGGTCCGACTTTTTTTCCTTTTTTTTCAAGTTCTCTTCTTTTGTGAGAAAATCTATTATTTCGAGCCTTTTTTTAGTATTTTTTAAAAATACGAAAATTTTAATTAAACTAATTGCATTCATGATTTTTTATTCAAATAACCAGTTCAGTTTTTTCTATTATGTCAATAAGATCAAAAATCAAGTCGTATTGCGTACGCGCACAGTATGACGTCGCGGTGTCGCGTCGCAACGTTCATAATTTGTAGAAAACATATATCTAAATTGTAAAAAAAATACTTTCTTACCTTGTTTCTGTTCCAATCTAAAAATTTGTCTACACACAAATCTTTAATAAACAGTAAAATAAAACTTGGACGACGAATTTCCAAATTATATTTTACTTACTAAACAAACGCTTTTTTAAATTCACCGAATAAGCAAATGTGTCAATCATCAACGATCCTTGCGTGAACTGAAACAGTGTAGGTACCCATACTATGAAAAATGCGAGTAACGAAAATGCATTCGTGTATAACGTTTCGTTACTTGGTACAAGATGGCGCAAACGTTACTCAGTACCGAATACATACGGTTTGCTACAGCTTTAGTCTGTCTGTCTGTCTGCCTGGGTTAGTCTTCGGAATGGCTGATTTTATTGTGATCAAACTTTACAAACAGATAGAGAGCAACGCTCGAAGATATTTATACGTATATTATACGTGGCAAAGCCATGCTGCAGTTATATTAGTGGTATAGTTGTAGCACGAATGGTTCGGCTCGACCGGGGAAGGAGCACGCTCTCACAGAATACCAGCGTGAAATAGTAGCTTAATGCTGCTGTGTTTCGTATGGTGAGTGTAGAGAACCGGGGATCCTTTTTACTGGAAAAGAGGCATTCCATCTTAGTTCTCACGGGTGACAACGCATCTGCATTTTGATTTGTAATCGAAGATAGGTGTAGATGTATATGGGCCACAGAAACCACTTACCATCAGGTGGACTGTGTGCTCGTTTGTCACAATATCCTATAAAAAGGAAGTAAAAAACTAGGTTATATTTTGTCTGAAAAAGTTAACGCTTTTACAAAAAACGAAAAATTGATAAAATGAATGATCTTTGATCACCTCAAATCTCAATAACGTCACATTAGTTGATCCCGTTCGGGTTAAGCCGGACCGGGTCGCTAGTTCATAACAATTTCTTCTTATTAGAAAACTTTATCGTATTTGTTTCATTTCTTTGAAGATATTTGGATATTTTCTTTGCCAGATATAATACTCAAAATTATCGATATACTTAAAGTAAAGTAAAGTAAAGTTACAGCGAACTTCACATTTCTTCGAAATATCTTTTTTTTTCTTATTTCTTTGACATGCAGGTTTCCTCACGATGTTTTCTTCACCACCGAGCACGTGGTAAATCAGCACTTAAAATTGCAGTGAACAATTTCATTGCTGCCGGCGGGGATCGAACCCGGTTTGCTCGCGTACTGTGGAATTTACAGGGAGCGCTAACCATCTGAGCTATCACGGCTCTCGATGTACTTATTTAAAAAAAAAAACAACATTTCCCTACCAGAACCACCCAGTTGCCCGTTAATGCATCCTTCATCCCACATATTAAGACAACGCTTCCCAGGATTAAATCCTCCGTTCAGATAATCGTCATCACCACCTGCAATATGAATATAATATAATAAACATTATCGTTAGTCCATGGGGACATAAGCTTTTTCATATGGAAGATGTGGCTAATAAGCATGCAGTTCATGCCAATGATGCCGCAGCTCATGAACATCTGCAACATCAAAGCAATGGCAGTGCATTGCCAGTCTTCGAAGAGGAATTGTTTTTCAAATTTTTAAGTCATCTGTCTGGTGTGACACGCCAGACACCGGTAAAAACCGCTGGTGATGGCATTATTTCCGAATTTCACAAAATTGTTGTGCAAGGCAGTACACTTCTTGAAAATTGCCTAGCATTTTGTTAACTAATATTCCGCGTGAGTTCATGACATGCATGGCCGACGACTCGACCCTTTCTTTGATTGATGATTATACGTGATGCAGCCATGCTGCAGCTATATTATGTTTGTAACACGAATGGGCGGCCCGAACAGGGAGGGACCGCGATCTCACAGAATACCAGCGTAAATGTTGCTGTGTTTCGTTTGGTGAGTGTAGAGAACCGGAGACCCTTTCTACTGCATACGAGGCATTCCATCTTAATAATCAGGGATGACAGCGTATCTGTATTTTAATTCTTATTCGAGGATAGGTGTAGATGTCTATGGGCCAGAGAATCCGCTTACCATCATGTGAGCTGTGTGCTCGCTTGTCACACATTCTATAAAAAAATTGCGGTCAAATGAGCTGGTACTGGATAGCCACGGCCTAGAATTGAGAACAGTATTCCATGTGCTTCTTCCAAGACTTTTTTACTGCATGGAAGTCCGTCTTAATAGATATAGATGTATTACGAGTGGTATTGATAACTATTTTTTTTAATACTTACCGGAACCTCCTAGTTGCCCGTTGATACATCCCTCATCCCACATATTTATGCATCGTTTGCCTGGGTTAAACCCTCCGTTCAAGTAGTCATCGTCTCCACCTGGATAGATGTGATCTTGTTTTAGACTAGGTTTTAGCTAACTTTGTTGTGTGGTGGTATCATATTATAATCCATAAGTACTCCATTTCGTCCAGTGGGTTCGGCAGATCTTATAGCCTCTAATAGATGGTAAAACAACCATCTCGTATATGATGTATGCGAGATGTAAGATACCCACTACGACTATGGTGAAAGAAAAGATAAAAAAAGTGTGAGAACTCTGGCATTGCGATCACCAATTCGCGTGAACATCAGAGGTTGCTTGTGTACTATGAAATTTGAGGCGAGTGCTTCGAATTAACGAGGTAAAATTTTAAACTTAAAACTTTTACCTATATATTAAAGTGTTACAAAAATAATAATTGCTACGTAACTAATCTAAATAATCTTTAAGGATAATTACCAGATCCCGGCAGTTGACCGTTGATGCAGCCTTCATCCCACATGTTAACGCATCTTGATGATCCTAAAATATGGTTGAAAATATTTAGAGCTTTTAACAAATTCTCTGATACTATTTCAGTTACTTACATTATAGTGATTCACTATATTACTTACTTAAAACATGTGGTCTACCTAACCACGTTTTGCAATTTACGAGAGAAAGTACAGCGCAAAATACAAGAAATGACTTCATTTTTTCGTAATAGCTAGCTATAATGTATTAGGAATAGACGCAAATTTTTGTTTGAAAATTCTCTTTCCACAACCATCCTTTTATAATAAAACTGGAAGGTCATATTAATACATATTAAACTATGGCCGAATAATTTGCTTGGCACTCAAGATATGCCGCTTATTAATTTGAATGGGATAATATTGCTGATAGATATAATCCATAGGACAATAAAGTTATCTAAACTCTGAGTGGACGCGAATTTATTTTATATGAATGACATATCTTTGCTACCTATTTTGGATAAAATGTTAAGCTTGAGACGGATATTAAAAAAAGTCGCAGGACACTCAATTATGCGAGATTTTACTAGTTCTATAATAAGACCATCATCATTATCATCATCATCATTATCATTACAGCCCTTCACAAGTCCACTGTTAAGCGAATGCTTTCTGTAAAGAATATACTAAGATGTCAAATATTTATAAAATTTGACATCTTAGTATATTCAATTTTGATAAATTACGCTCCTCTTAAATAATAAAATTTTAAAATGTAAAATAAACCCCGACTTTGGCTTTACAATCAGTCCTAGTTTGTTACTGTTTGAGCAGAGGACTGCGGATATTAATACAGCTGAGTGAACTATAGTTCTTGCGTGGAGACATCTTTTTGTTTCGCAAGTTTTTGAAATCGCTGCGCCAAAGAGCCATCATCGAGAAAAGCAGCTGTTGCCAAGGCGACAATCAATCGCCGAGATTCCTATTGGTTGGCAACTTAGAAACAAGTTCTGTTTATTGGTGACACATGCGCTTTCCAATCGAAGGGAATTTTTATATGACATATATTTAAAGACATTTCCTTTTTCTTTAAATGATTAATTTATTCTAATGCCGTGTTCATATATAAATGTAAATAATTGTGTTGGTGCTGTAAGTAAAATATTTCTTTTTTTTATGCTCTTGTTCTGTAAGTATTTATAATTATATAGATTTTATTACTTTTCTATATTTTTTGTTATTTTTGTACAAATCTATACATTTAATGTAAATAATTTGCATGTCTCTGGCTGATAGGCTTTCCTCAAGGGAGAGGTCAGTGGTGGCCGCATCACAACACCTCGTACAGTGTACAGATTGTTCACAACCACGCTTTTTCAAAGGGAAAAGAGGCCTAAATATTCATAAAACCAGAACCCACAAATCACTACAAGTCCAAGATTACCCCCCCACAAATAGATTGCCCATGGAACGAAAACATTTCCTTAAAATTAAGCCATTTAAAATTCAATTGTCCAGTCATAAAAAGAATACCAAGGGGTGCTAGAAATAGTGTAGCCCTCTCATTCTCGTTATGCATTAATGACATAGTAAATAAAAATTATTCAGAAAGTTGGAAAAAAATTACTCACTTTTTCATATCGTACACTACACGTTGCTAAGGATGGTGAAGGCAAAGGCATCTCTCTCACGCATAGAATAAAAGATAATTGCTTTAGCTAGCAGTAAACTTTACGTGTCGACAATTGTGTAACACGATGAATTTATAAATAAAATTAGCTACAATATAATTAAAAAAAACTGAATCAAAGTTGAACGATGGCGATTTGAGAGGTGCAGCTCGCCTCCTTTTCTCGAGTGATGCGGTGGCCCCTGATACTCCGGAGACTTTGTTTTCCCTGAGGGCTAAACATCCACTTTCATCGGCTCCCTTAAAGTTACCGGATGCTCCTGACCCCTCTGAGCGTACACCGGAAGCCACTGCTGATGAGGTACAGGCTGCGATCGATTCCTTTAGTAATGGATCGGCCAGTGGTCTTGATGGTCTTTCACCTCAACATTTAAAAGATCTTCTATCAGGTGCTAGGGGAAACACTGGCCGAGACCTTCTAAATGTCTGGACGCAGCTTGTAAATTTAATGCTTTCCGGAAAAGTTTGCCCAAACATAACGCAGATACTTTATGGGGCAAACCTGTGCGCCCTTAAAAAAAAGGATGCAACTATTCGGCCCATAGCAGTTGGTAACACAATTCGCCGCGTTGTTTCAAAGGTTTGCTGCAAACATATCCAGCCAGACCTCGCGGCCATATTCCAGCCTATGCAGCTAGGTTTCGGGATTAAAGGCGGATGTGAAGGGGCTGTTCATGCGGCGCTCACCTTTCTGAAACAAGGCGGCGCTGAGGTGCTGCTGAAGATGGATGGATGTTGAAAATGCGTTTAACTCAATAGACCGAGGAGCTCTGCTGACACAGGTAAAACAAAATATTCCATCCATATACCATTACCTTTGGCAATGTTACAGTTCACCATCTTTACTCATGTACAAAAAACACCAAATTTTATCCGCTGTTGGTTGCCAGCAGGGTGACCCGTTTGGTCCGGCAATTTTTAGTCCGGCAATTCATCCATTCATTTCTGGTTCCGTTCCGTTTCCGTTCAAATCAAAATTATTTAGATGATGGAACACTGGGAGGCGAAGCGAACTCAGTGCTTGACGATTTAACCAGTCTTATTGCTACTTTCAGTTCTATTGGCCTCAAATTGAATTTTTTAAAATGCGAACTTTTTGTTAATGAGAATTTACCCACCTCCGAAAAAGATCAAATTGTTAGCAAATTTAACTCCCTAGCCCCAAGTATAAAAATAATTAACAGCAAATCGCTTCGCCTTCTAGGTGCTCCTATTCTGTGTGACTCCTTTCAATGCTTTGTGAGTGAACAGATTTTAAAATTTGAGGAGTTATCCAGTCGTCTAAAAGAAATTAGCCCACACATGGCATATGCCATACTAAAATACTGTCTTTTTGTGCCAAATTTTACGTACGTGCTGCGGTGTTCAACTCTTTGGATGCACGTCCCATTTTTAAATCGCCTCGATGATATTATAAGGAAAATTATGATAGAAATTCTAAATTGTCCATTAAATGAAAATTCCTGGGTTCAGGCCACTCTTCCAATTAGACTTGGTGCTCTAGGCATCAGAAGAGTTTCCAGCGTAGCACTTCCAGCTTTCTTGTCTTCAGTTCATAGCACGTTATACCTCATTGGAACAGTTATTAACCCATTACTCGGTGATGTAGAGGTCTCGTGCTTGGCTGAGACCAAGGAAGCCTGGATCAATAAGACCGGGCCGGATCAAGTTTTTCCGACAAACCCAGCTTCGCAGAGGCATTGGGATGAGCCACTCTGTATCCAGGTTCAAAAAAACCTATTAGAAAACTGTGCGAACCCTACAGAGCGAGCCCGTCTTTTAGCATCTGTGGAGAAGGAGTCGGGCTATTGGTTGAATGCGCTGCCCTCATCGAATATCGGTACACTCTTGGCCACCACGGCCTGGCATGCCAGCGAAGTGCTGGTCGCATCCCTCGCCATGCAGCCATTAATGACGTCATTCGACGAGCCTTAACCAGTGCAAACGTACCTGCAATTTTAGAGCCAAACGGTATATTACGGGACGATGGCAAGAGGCCTGATGGAATGACGCTCATTCCATGGAAAAATGGGCGCTCCTTAGTATGGGATGCAACTTGTGTTGACACATTAGCGCCATCATATCTTGCGGCGACTGCACAGAAGGCAGGCGCTGCTGTTGCCGAGTCTAACAAGCGGCGCAAATATGTAGCCCTCGGAGAGGGATACATGTTTGTGCCCTTTGGTGTAGAAACGCTGGGGCCGTGGGGTCCTGATGCAAGACGTTTGTACAGGGATATCTCATCACGCCTTGTCAATGTCTCTGGTGACCCAAAAGCTAGAAGATATTTTGGTCAGCGGATCAGCCTTGCAATACAGCGAGGCAACTCAGCCAGTCTTCTGGGCATACTACCAACAGACGGCGGCGATTTAGCAAGTATTTTTTACTTAAGTTATGCGTTTTATACTGTATAATTTTGTAAAATACTATTTTCCTTTAACTTTTATATTATGTTAATTAGAAATATTTATGTTTTATTAAATTCTTTATAATACGAAGTTATAAAAAGAATTAAGATTCTACAGCGGGAAATGTTGCCCTTACAAAAAACTTAGGTACACAGTATATAAATGCAATTTGATGCACTGACATCTATATATCAATATCAGTCGATTTAATTTAAACAACCCTGACAGTCTCATAGGTAAGGTAGGTAAATTAAATAATTACCTAAATATTATAAACATAAATATTTATATAAACAAAATAATAACAATTTTACTTTAACAAAAAACAATTAACAAAAATTTTACTTTTCTAGTCTTAAAAAAAAACTCGTTTGGCTCTCCTATTAATTCTTCAAAGTCTATGAGTACGTAATCCACAATTTCGTTTTCTATCGTTTTTTTAGACAAAGTTGCAAAGGTTTTTATCAGCTTAAACTTAGAAAAACTCCTTTTTCTCCTTAGCAACTGTTATAGATATTGTGATTAATATCGAGATGTATATTACCGTATATACATATAGTATTTGCATGTTACGATCATTAATGAAATTTAAACACAGACAGGAATAACACCGTCGTTAACAGGCACGTGTACGTGGTACACGTGCCTTTACTTTGTACGTGGTAGAGCCATGCTGCAGTTATATTAGTAGTATAGTTGTAGCACGAATGGGTCGGCTCGACCGGGGAAGGACCACGCTCTCACAGAATATCAGCGTGAAATAGTAGCTTAATGCTGCTGTATTTCGTATGGTGAGTGTAGAGAACCAGAGACCCTTTTTACTGGAAACGAGGCATTCCATCTCAGTCCTCACGGGTGACAAATCATCTGCATTTTGATTTTTAATGGAGGATAGATGTAGATGTCTATGGGCCGCAGCAACCACTTACCATCAGGTGGACTGTGTGCT